CCAGGAACATCTACAGCATCATGGAGTTCACATGTTTGCTGCTGGTAACCTCAGCACAGCCCCACTAACTTGTGCTCTCCTCTCCTGGCACGCCCTGCGCCACACTGGCTAACCCAGGAGCAGGGCACTGCACCTGGCAGCCCTCGGGATGCCCGTCCCCCCTGTATGAGGCTCAACAGGGCCAAGTGCCGGGTCCTGCACTTGGGTCACAACAACCCCATGCAACGCTACAGGCTTGGGGAAGAGTGGCTGGAAAGCTGCCTGGCAGAAAAGGACCAGGGGGTGTTGGTCAACAGCCGGCTGAATATGAGCCAGCAGTGTGCCCAGGTGGCCAAGAAGGCCAATGGCATCCTGGCTTGTATCAGGAATAGTGTGGCCAGCAGGAGCAGGGAAGTGACCATGCCCCTGTACTCGGTGCTGGTGAGGCCCCACCTCGAATGCTGGGTTCAGTTTTGAGACCCTCACTACAGGAAAGACGTTGCCTTGCTGGAGCATGTCCAGAGGAGAGCAACCAAGCTGGTGAGGGGTCTGGAGCACAAAGCTGATGGGGAGCGGCTGAGGGAACTGGGGGTGTTCAGCCTGGAGAAGAGGAGGCTGAAGGGAGCCCTTATCGCTCCCTACAACTGCCTGAAAGGAGGGGGGAGTGAGGTGGTTGTTGGTCTCTTTTCCCAAGTAGCAAGCGATAGGACAAGAAGAAATGGCCTCAAGTTGCACCAGGCGATGTTTAGATTGGATATTAGGAAAAATCTCTTCACTGAAAGGGCTGTCAAGCACTGGAATGGGCTGCCCGGGGAAGGGGTCGAGTCCCCATCCTTGGAGGTATTTAAAAGATGTGCAGACGAGGCGCTTAGGGGCATGGTTTGGTGGCAGACTTGGCAGTGCGAGGTTAACAGTTGGACTTGATGACCTGAAAGGTCTTTTCCAACCTAAACGATTCTATGATTCTGTGGTTTTCTAAGGGTAGAGGACTAGTAAAGAGACGATGCATGGACCGCAACCCCTGGGTTAGCCCTGAAGGATGCAGAAGACAGGGATGCTCCTTTGGGAGCCTTGTGGGAGTGGGTGGATATCCCTGAAGCACATGGAATGTGAGCTGTGAATATTTCCAAGCCCTTCCCCAGCCCCTCCATCTGCCTTAAGGGGAGAGAAGCAGCAAACATCTTTTCGATTCTGTCCTTTTATATGGGCACAATAAATCTCAGCCTATATCCCTTCACCCATCTAGGGGCAATGCATTTCCCGGGAGCAGAGGGATTTAGGATGCCTCTGGAAACACGGGTTCCACCATGAAGGGTTTGGTAGAATTACATACACATATAAGAAATAAATAAGCAAACCACTAAAGCCATAGCCCCGCTCCTGCAGGAGCCGCTCCCTCCGCCAGGTCTCCCCTCTTTGCCAGCCGCTGAGGCGCGATGGGTTTCCATGCTGGAAAAAGAGCTGGGGAGAGGGGGCGGGGGTGGAGTCGAGGTTTTGCAGGGGGAGCCCCAGGGAGGAGCTGAGGCTCCCCCCTGCCCCGGGGTGCTGGGG